CGCGTATCGAATCGCATCGGAAGACGCGTCACGCGTTTCGAGTCTCGATCGCTTCGTCGCGTGAAAGAGAGATGGAGAACATGGATAGCGCCATGGCATGAAGATGGCATGCAACGAAAATAGCGAGAGGGATAGAGAAAATGGAAGAGTGGAGGAGGAGAGCGGAATACCAGTGCGAAGAGAAATAAAAACAACCCTCTTCTGCCCCTTATCTTGTCCTCTCTCTTTTTCTCTTCGTTCCTTCCTTTGCATCTTGACAGAGCCACGTCCACTTTATGTCGAAAAAGAAGACACGAGATGGAGTGAGGACGAGATTCAAGAAATTTACGCCTGGATGATTATCGTTTGATCGAAGATCGATAAGCATCCGCTCGGCTAGATAACTCTGTAGCGGATGGATTTAATTACCAATGGAATATTTAATCGGCTTATCTCAACCATGGATGTTTTCTAGACTAAGAAAGAAATACTATGTTGTTATTTGTGAGGGATACTTGGAACTAATTTAAATAAATTCATACCGAATTCAAATATGAACGTTTCTTCTTTCCATCGTTTTTTTCAAAAGTTTGTCATTTGTATGTTATATTAAATTCAATAATTACTTCATGTAAAATAAATATCTTAACATAAATATCTTAAATTTTCGGACATGATATGAAATGAACCTCATTGCAACAAGATTAATCAAAAATTATTATTATTTTATGTATTTAAAATAGATATAATAGATTTTTTATTGTTTATGAAATTTTTATATTTGTCTAAATTTTTTCTTAGTTTGTTGTCAAAACGTTACATCGTTGCAATTATAATTTATAATTTTTCTATAACTCCTATCATTTAGCACACACACATTTACAAAAGAAAGACACGAAAAAATAAACGATTATTCCCACAGCACGCACGTAAATATGCACATTAATTTTTATTATCGAAGAAATTACCAGGGTATTGCATATTAATTGATTTGCACAAGCAATTCAAAAAATGACCTCGATTCTGAACAGTAAATCGCGTATGGAATCTCTTCAAGGCTTCACTAAATGAGACCCGGAATCGAACATCGTCATCGAACATCACATATATTTTATAAAACTCAAACGACAGTCTCGCGATTGTACGAGAGATCTTGTCTGATCTCCATCTCTCTCTCTCTCTCTCTCTCTCTCTCTCTCTCTCTCTCTCTCTCTCTCTCTCTCTCTCTCTCTCTCTCTCGTTATGTCTATCAAACTTCATAGTTGGAAAGATTCGTTCTTCAATCTTTACATTTCGAGATATTTTTGCTTTCTTTATTAATGACAATCATTTATAAACAGATTCCGTTAATTAAAACAGTTTACATTTATCCCGAATAATCGCACAGTCCATTAAGATTTCCGTCGAATTCAACAGGAAATTTATCCGTTATACCTGCCTTAAAAATATTTATGGCTTTATTCTTCAAGAATTTCTCTTTTTGATGCTACGCAATAATACGACACATTTCGTCATATTTCATATAAATGTGAAAATAACTTGTTGCAATAGTTAAGATAGTAATATAATGACCGTAATGAAGGGCCTTTATAATCGCATATATTTCTCGCAGAGAGAATATTCCCGCAACGCCAACACAATTTCAATATTGTAACTGCGAATTATTAGAAATACCTTATTTCGTGTCACATGGGATGAGATGAAGGGGAAGAGAAAAAAAAATCAAAAATCGCTAATGTACGGACAAGCTAAGGACCTCTTATTACAAATCCCATGCGGAGTATTTGATTACCGACGATGATAACAAATTTCAGTAATGCGCGTTGAGAACGAGGAGATAATTAATATCATCGAACGTATCTCGCGTATAAAATACTCTTCTCTAAAGAGGTGGACGTTTAAAGTAAGGCGGCGGAGGAGGAGAGAAAGAGGAAACCGTGCTCGACGTACGTGTAGATGTAATCCAATGTGACACTGAAGCGGAAAGTAACGTCCCGAGGCAACGTAACGTCGACAGTGTACGACATGATGAACGAGCGCTCGTCGTGAATCATTTTATGAGTTTTATAATATTGGCCAGGATTATATAGTCTGTTTCAAAAGTCACGCACTTTCACTGCGCCAATATAAAAAGCACGATGGTTGCTTCAATATAAGCCGATTTTAAAATTAAATAATGTGCAGATATAACATAAAAAATCTTATTTCTTAAATAAATTTAACTAAATTTAATTTTATTCATATAATAAAACGGCATACCTGTTAATTCCACCATTGGATTCGAAGACACACGTTCTTATAAGCGATACGATTATAAAATCGCTAAAAATTCCAGATACACGCGGAGAAGAAGATTCCAGATTTCACTGGTGGAGAACGGCCACGCTGAAAAGGGTTAAAGCGGGGAGGAAGGCGGAGAGAAGGCCGCGAAAACGATGTCAGCACGAAGAAACGCAATGCAAGACAAACGGGGGCTGGCGGGGGCCGAAAAAGAGTGTAAGCTGGTTCGCGCGCGCGGTTTTCTCCTTGGCCTCTGGATCGTGATCGTTTCCATCGGAGCAAGTCCAGCCGAGCAAGCAGCCGCATCGCGCCGGTAGCCTCAAGGGGCAGGGAAAAAAAACATGGACAAAGCCGACGCCACTCATGGCGAACGGATTTTTATATCGAGCACGTACGGAGCTGCGTGCGTAATGCGTGTGCACGATGACTCGCGCGATGCTACATCAATCGTGTTGCAATATAAAACAGATTATATGTATTTAGCCCCGCATAGATTAATATGCAAGAATTAAACGATAATAAGAATTCTTTTTTATGCAGATTTTTTCTTGGCAGAAATTCTATGAAAGATATTAAAATTGAAATTACCTAAATTTCTGCAGATTTGTTTTTTTATCAGAATCGAATAATGCTAAATTTAATAATGTAAAGTTCAATAACATTCTTTTACATTGATTTATTTGCAAATTAATACGAAAAAGAAGATCTGAATTTTTATATATGCCATAGCTAGATGCTCTTTTGAAATCGTTTGCGGACTGATCTTGATCGACATGTACCGGATTGCGCTCTCGTAAGGTGAAGAAAGCGGGTGCGCGTTTCAGTGATGAACTCCTTCCTCGAAGAGAGGGAGCGCAAAGGTATACTTTGTCCAGCAGTGTTGCACGTATCGCATCGGATTTCACGTGAGGTCTGTGGTTCCTTGGGAATGGATACTCGGTTATGGGTTACGATCGCGGCAGTTTGCACATATACTCAGTCACGGCTGGGATACTGCTGGGGTATACATAAGATAAATATATACGTGAAACCTTTCTCTCTCAATCCACCGATTAGTCCTTAAAAAACGTATGGATATAAAACAAGCTCTGAGAATCTTGCGAAAATTTAATGACTAAAGAGAAAGACACAAGATATAGATAAATAAAGATAAATAAAAAATGTATAAGAGTTTAATAATTATAATATCAATAACAAGTTATATAATAAAGAAGCATTAATTGAAAAATTGAGGAAAAATTTGTATTGATATTCTGTCATAATATTTAACCGCATAAGTATATTATTCTAAATCAATAGATATTCATATTAATAGATGCAGTTAGTCATCAGTTTATCCTGGAGACGAAATGGATATCTGTGAGTTTCAATTATAGATTGTTTCTATATATTTTTACACTGTTTATGTCTATGATTAAATAATGTATTAAGAAAAGCAAGATCTAGCAAAGTACTTCCAAACTGCAGCTGTTCCGATTGCGATTCGATAATCACTCACAAATTGACGATTTATTTAACAACAAAATTTATACTTATTGATGTTAACAGCGATGATTTTTAATAATTCCAGTCTATAAAATCTACAAATAACACATAAATTGTGTTTTCATATTGTTAAATAATAAATAATTAATTATGATATATACACATGAAATTATATAAATATAAAAAATACATATAAAATTAAATATCGAAATTTATTAAGAGAAACTGCATTTATAAATCTGCAGTAAAATTTCTAGCATCCATGCTGTTTTACTAACAGCTGTTAATAACGAAATTCAGAAATTCTTTGTAATATCTCGTATTGTATTGATAGTTTTAAATTCTAAGATCGGTCTATGAATTATATTATCTTTCAATGATATTATCTTTCAATAATAAATTTTCAAATATAAAAACTTGCTTATTTATTATTATTATATCAACAGTAAATAAATAAGTTTTCATCATACCATCTTATTCTTATGCCCTTTCAGAAACTCCATCTGTGAAAAGTTGAGCGAGTCACTTTATGGCACACAAATTCCAAATTATTAAAAAAATAAGCTCTAAATTTATTTTAGTTTAAAGTATATTTTGGTCATGGTGTAAAAAGGTTTTATGTTATTTATTTATTTTTTTCTTTTAAGAAATAATATATATTAATATATATTAAACTTATATTTTAAGAAATAATATATATTAATATATATTAAACTTATATATTAAACTTTCACTCTCTCTAATAATTAAGTTTTCATATATTACTGAATATTCCTCCTTGTCTTCTGTTTCATATACTTCTCAAGATTGTCATAAATCCTTCTTTTATATATATATATATATATATATAAGTAATCGATATATCTCTTATTTGATAATTATAAAAATCAATATAATAAATACAGATATTTATATTATAGTGTTTATATTAATATTTATGATGATGTTCTTGATACTTCACCAGTTCACTTTTCCCAAATAGTTCAGTCTGAAAAACAGATTCGTGTTGAGCATTTCATCGAGATGAACTCGCGTTCGATCGAGAACTTTCAAAATTAAAGACACTTACCTGTATATGTCGCATCGTACGAGTTTGCTGATTGTCTCGGAAAAAAAACGAAAAATCAGAATATGCAAAGGTCGGGAGAGATTCATGCACGATCGCAGCTGTGCTGATGATGGCTCTGGCATGCCCTTACCTCTCCACCCTATATGGATCTTAAGGGAGATTTCCTCGTGAAGAAAGAAGCAGGGGATCGAAGGTTGAGAAAATTGTGCGTTTATTAGTGAAGACGACGTTCGAGCAATCTCACCGCTTAATTTCATCGACGATGCCGACGCGAGGCCTCCGGAAGCCACGTTGAGATCCTAAATGAACAGCCCTGCTGGAGACAAGAGAAGAGAGAGCGAAGAGTCTGAGCATTCTCTTCGACATTCTGTATCACAAAATTTCTATATCACATACTTCTTGCGATTTGCTTACAAAAATCGCAGCAAGTAAATGCAATTAAATATCTCTGCCTATACAAAAGAGTTTATAATAATCAATTTAATGCAGAATCACGCAGTAGCAATAATAATTACGACGATAATAATAATGAAGACAATAATAATAAGGCATTCACAAGTCTTAAAGGGACATTTACACTTATTTATACATATATCGTTATCGCTCTATCCTCTCCTCCTCTTGATCTAGTTACGCAATTCTCGTTGCTTACGATCTTCATTATGTCACGTTCGTCTTCCGCTTCGGTGTCACGCGAATACGGCATTATCGTCGACGTCAGAATTAAGATATCGACTTGAGAGATATTTACTAATTACCGTCGTCTTTCGTTTTCGGTCGCGGCGGACAGGCTGTTCTCGCGTCGAACAAAGAATCGGAGATTAAAAAGAGAGAATCGCGCTTCATTCTCTCACATTCTCACTGTTATTCCCATACGTTCGCATTCTGCACCTATTTGGAACATAGCACATGTTTTTTTGTATATTTATATATATATTTCTTTTCTCTCTTTTCATATTTATATATATATATATTTATATAATTATATTTATATTTATAATCATTAATCCTCTTCGTTCATTATATACCTATCTATATATTATCTACAGGGCAGTAGCCAAACGCTGACTGACTGTGCGAGTGTTGTCGCTTGTGCTGTCCGCTCGCGACGATGCCGACGATTTGACTAGAGAGATGCGCGCTCATTTATCGTTCGCCCTCCCATCATTGCGATGATCCTTGGGAGAGCACGTGCGCCTTTTGTGTGTGTTATGTATACGCTTGACATATCGCGAGATGTGTATACCGATGTATATATCGCGAATGGAGATTGGGCGGGCGCGCCGCGATGCGCTCGAACTTTACCGCTCTTTTGGTCGCTTTATTGATGACGACGAATATCATATCCCCGCTGTCCGTCAATGCGATTCAGCATTTTGTTGCGGAAAAGGTAAAAGCAAATACGGAAGTAATCGTTCTTTTGAGCTTACGATATGCCTCGGCCAAGCATCGCTCTCTTCTCGATCGCGACGCCAAGATCGATCTCATGATGAGATACAACAGTAGTAGCAAGTTTACGTCTGACATTTTCATCTAACGAAATGTGGCTGACACAAGTATAAACGCCGAGGAGTTTCTCAGGGAGGGGAGACATTATATTAAGCTAGATTTATATTTAACATTAGTTCCATGAGTCTGACACTTTTCTACCAACGTGCGCTCTCATTATAATGCAATGTTCGATATAAATTCTCTCTCCATCGCGCTTAAATTACTTACCGTTGTCAAATACACAATGCCATGCGATAAATCTCAGACGTAGACCTACCACGAGGAGTGTAAGATTTCTGAAAATGGAAGGTAAACTTGAAGACGAAGGCAAAATTATGTCCATGTGACGAGCGATCTGTCGAAGCACATCGCGGCCGAGAAGAAATCCTGGCGGGTAGGCATCGTGGTGCGAATCGCAAGTGATCATCAGTGACGATTGAGTCGTCGTGATTCTTTTTTTATTTTTATTTTTTTAGATTCTATTCCGTACTTATATACGAATTAAGTATATGCTAAGAAGAATGCATTCGCGCCGCGACGACTCACCGCTTTTCGCCCTTTTACTTCTCTCTTTCTCTCTCTCTTTCTCTTTTTCTCATTACATTTTTTTCTTTCTTTTTGATCCGCATCAATCAATGATGATAGTTTAATTTCGACGCTTTGATTTCGCGCGAGTTCGAGGGACACTTGGTATTTTTCTCGTATTTAGGCCTTTTTCTTCCACAATCACGCGTATCTGGATCGCATTTTCGCGTGACGATGACTAGATTAGATTTTACACGAGCGTACGCGCATTGCGTCAGCGTGAGTACGTGTGTGCGTGTCTTCTGTACGTATATATTTTATATGTGCGTGTATTTGTGTGGTCGTATGCGCGTTTGTGTGTAACATGTTCATTGAATTGAGTCGTTCTTCTCTTTGGTGATCGTCAAATTGGTTGGCTTCGACGCACGTTCGATCTTTGGTGTGTTCTCGCTGGCAGTAGCTCGATATCCGCCATGGGGATGACGCACCAGAAGCGACGAAGATCATCGTCCAACGGCAATTCTTCTGAAAGCGCGATGGAAGCGAACGCCAAGGTATATTTAACGGAGAGCCGCAATCTCCTTCTTTCTCTCCCCCTTCCTCTCTCTTTCTCGACGCTCTTCTCGTTTTTCTGAATAAGTACGTATGATTTCGCGATCCCATTTTTCCTGAGGTGAGGAAGACTCGGACGCGAACTACTGGCGATATAGAAAAACGCACGATCATAAAAAATACATTATATTTACGATGCGTTACCCTGACATTACAGCGGGCTGTAAAACAACGTTGAGACTTGATTTTCTTCCAATCACGGAAGATAAATGTCGTAGAAACAAGAGAAAGAGAGCAACCGGCAAATTCGATCTTGAGCAGATTAAATCTATACTCTCGTCAAGCCCTTGCTATAATCTAAGTTCACGGGAGACATGATCGAGTTTCATTCAAGAGCATTTTGAGAGAGAATCAATATCAATTGTTTCGCGAAGCATTGATTTGTAAGCTTGTAGCACTTTCTTTCGTGGGGAAAATTAAATATTTTCTTGGAATTTTGAATGGATAATCATATGCAGCATATTACCATTATCGCTTCAATCAAATACCTCAAATAGTTGCAATTATGTGCTACATATTAGGAATATATCATTTTGCCGCATATATTAGATTTAAATCATGGCCAATCTCTTTAGTACGGCGAGTTCAATTGGAATCACATTTTTCCTATTTTACACATGCGCATTTGATTGAAAAATAGATAAAGAGTTTTTCTAATTTTTCTTTTTTTTTCTTCCAATACTCGCTAAGAAATGAAGAGATATTTTACCTATTTGTAATGAATCATGAGATATATATATGAGCTATGTGAGATATAAGCTATGTGATTCAAATCGAATTCGTTTTCAAGAGAAGAGCGAAAAAGAGGAAGAAGGACGTGAGCTCGAGTCGATCTCCTATGCGAACCTCTAAACTATAACGGCAACGAGGGAAGATTGTGTGACTCGAAGATCGACGGACTCGGGAGATTAATGGTATTCACGGCGGTGTCCGTCATCCCCGAACGATCGCGTGACCTTCCTTTCTCCGGCTACGATCCACCGCCCTGTGTGCATCCGCTTGCACCGAATCTTTGGAAGTGGAACGTCGCGATCTGTGATCTACACGATCGACCGCGATCGCGATTTACATTCAATCCATCATCATCATCAATATTATCATTATCATCATCATCGTCATCATCATCGGTGTTGTAATGGCTCATATGCAATGACGAGCGCGATTACGTGGCCCCGTTGCGCCTTCGCGTGGAAGAGCGATTCACTGAACAAGCTCCAGGCTCCCGTATGCGAGCGATTCGAGAAACGATCAGAAAGATCGTCGTTGTCCACCCTAGAGGAATGGTCCCTCTTGGGAGAGATTAGCTTCATCAGCCATGTCCGCTTGGGCAATGATTCCTCACCTCGACGGAGGCTCTCCGTCGAGGAGAGTGTTGCCGATCGCGAACTCGCCGCCGAACGATTCTCGGCTGACCGACGCATGGTCTGAAGATGCTTTTGGTTTTGGAGGTCTTGGTTCGCGCCCCCAATGTCCTTGGACCATCCGTCACGATTACGTTGCTCCCCGCTTGCCTTTTGTCTTTCCACTACCATGCTCCTGTCCGCTGCTTGGACTAGGTGGACTGCTGCTATTCAATCTGGCTACCCTCCGGTAAATCTCGCTGTTGACGAAACGCGGATACGAGTCCCGATGCATAAGGGTGTAGATTTGTAGCTGCGCATCGTCGAAAGTATGCGGCGTAGGTTCCACCATGTTGCGATTCACGATCTCCCGTACCCGCGAATCCAGACTCACCTGCAAAAGATAAAGAGAATGAGTTGAATAAAATTTTCTGACACACATATCATCAGTTCGTTTTTTTTTTATAAGAATATCCTACCAAATTGTAAACTATTCCATCGTTTGCAAGCCTTAATCTATAGCACACTGTTTGCGTGCAATTCATATCCTTTTTACATAAAAAATGAAGGCCTTATAATACTTTATGATAACTTACACGCGTTTTATAAAGAGGTTATAACAAAAATTATATAAATTATAAAATCTTAATTTTTAATTGAATGCATAATTATGATTTTTTAAAAATAAACATGTATCTGATAGTCTAGGATAAATAGATAATTTATAAATTGATTGATTTCTTTTGATTAATTTCAAATCGATTTTACCTTAGTAGAAATGGCAAAGATCCAACACGTTCAAAGTTATAAAAGATTTAAGATGAAAAGCTTTTCGAGAATTATGGGTTGTAATATATGCACGAGATGCCTTTAGCACGATCTTTTACGTTATCTCATAAAATTATCTACATGAATGCAATAATGCACGTATACTGTACAATTTGCCATAATGTTCGAATGGTAAAAGACGATTCGTGCATTTGCCCCGTTTGGACGATTGAACAGGTCGTTAAAGAGGTCACTAGGTCACTAGGTCAGTAGGTTAATATAGAAGAAATTATACACACACAGTCACGCGCACCTGCAGTTTTTCTCGCAAACGGAACATTATATTGTAAAAGTATATCGAGAAAGACGTTACATCCCTTCACATCAAACAGTATTCCATTTTACTACATTATTTTTATAATTCTGACGTGTTCTTAATATTCGACTTTTGCATCCGATAAAATGGCGCAATTAGATTATGCATCCTATGTAATGTTATCGATTCTATCAAAGCTAACGACTCTAGAAGGGTAAACAGGAATTATTTTATGAAATATAAGTGCTTATCCTTCAGCTAGTCAAAATAACAGGTATTGATCGCATGCCATTACGTATGTCATTATATTTTACTAGATAAACAATTAGAAAAATAGAAAATTAGAAATCATATATTTCTAGGTTGATGCTATCTCTTCGATCGAATGTATATTTAATAGTATATTTTTCCAAGGAAACAGAAAATGTGTTATATCAATATCGTGTTCAATAATAAGAAAACTTATTGAACAGATATTGAATAGATATTGTTAATGTATACGCGATTTATATCGTATTATTTGATATTAAATAATATGCCAATATTTTTTATTCAGAAATGATTGCTTTATTTTCGCGAGAAAAGTTTTATTAAAACGATGTAATGAGTGTAAGCATATGTGTGTATAATTTCAACAAATTAAATTGATTAATTTGAAACACTTCAAGTTTAAATATTATAAATAAAATTGATTTGAGAATAGTATATATTTTTGAGAATAAGAATTTCCCTAATAAATATAATTGTTTTAATTTATAATTTTTTCTAGTAAATATCATTTATTTATTCTAAAAGAAACTATTATTATTTGAATATACTAAACTTATTTGAAACTCATATCGTTATTGAAATACTATCATTTAATAATATAATAAACAAAAATTAATTCATTTTGATTTTTTCCAAGTCTTTTAACAATTATACTTAATAAATACATATAGATTCTATAAATTCTCGCGACAACGAGATTTCTTTTACTCACTTCCTTCGGCGAAAGTATGGATATGTATTCGTCGTAAATGTAGCGCGCCTTCTCCTCGATTGTCTCGGGATTGCTCTCTCGCTTGAGTTGCTCGCAGGCCAGCCAGAAGGCGATGTTCTCCTCGCTGTACTCGCTCACGAGGAACTCTTTAAAGAGCTTGCGTCCGGCGGCGTTCCTCATCAGTTTGTCGAAGGACGAGCCCCAGGCTCGGATCTCTTCCAAGTTGCAACAAGCTTCCAGGCCGCCGTCGAAGCCGTCGAGTCCGTCGAGACCGTTACCTGCACCTGCACCCGCGAGATCGGTGACGCCGATGCCGCCGCCATGCTCGCCGCCGACGCCGGCGTTGCCCTTCTTCTTGCCTTGATCACCCGCTCCACCGGTACCCGAATTACCGCCGACTGCCGCCAAACTGAAACCATCAGCGTACAATTAGGTCTCGTTGTCGTTCAGGACATAAAATTGTGAAAATTGTTAAATAAATAACGAACAATTGATTTTTTGCAACAATTCAAAATTATTATTTATTATTATTATTATGTGCACAAAGATCGTTAATAAAATAACTTGTTATTTCAAAATTTATATGCAATCTCTAATACTTTTCTTACTTTACTTTACTTCGATTCTTATATTTATTAGTCTATAGTTGAAGTAAAAGTTTAGAAAATAGTAGAATGTGTTGATTTTGATTATTTTGTATTTTTTGCTATAAATAATACAATCTACTTGATCTATTTTTTTGTTATAACAGATAATGCGGCGAAAATGGATTCGGTTCTAAAAGATCGGATTGAAATTTATCACGCGTTATCATGTCGATAACAATGACCGTAAATAATTGCATTAATTGTAACAATCATGCAATGATACCTGGTTATTCTTGTTTGACAAACACAAGCATGATAAAAGAATACAAACAATGAAAATAATAATATACAGCAGGGCAGGGAAAGAGAGGGATGTGTTGAAATGAATATTAAACTTGGTAGTTTCGGGAAATGAGATGAAATGAACGGCAGGGAGCAGGAGTATAATCTAGTAGATGAATACGAATGCAATGGGGAATGATAATAAATGATTGACATTAAGATAGTTAATTTAACCGAAATTCTGATATAACGCGAGTTACAAAGGGATATGAAAAGGTGGTATTGAACTGAGAGAAGATATTAGTTGTGTCGATAACAGAATAACATGGAAGAATCGGGTCATTGGAAAATTTTCTTGTGTTCGATGATGTGGCATTTATAAACCACAAATGCAGAAATAAACGGCGATTTTAAACGATTCACATGATTTAGCCGAATGACGAAAATGAATTTCTTTCTGTTTTCTGGTTTGAATTAATTAAATTCTACATTAATTTCTAAAATTTTTTCCGTGATGAGAAAATAATATCTCGAATTTTTATATTCCTATATTTCTACATTTATATTAATATATTTTCCATTTTGTTAATATTTAATGTAAAATATTAACAAGTTACAGTCTCTATTTTTTATTTGATTAATTCCATACGTGAATGTAATTGAATGTAATATTACGTTTGCTTATGATTTTTTTATTAAAAATGTTATCAATTTTAACGATAACAATTTAACGAGAATTTTAACGATAACAATTTCTTTCAAAAAATGTGTTTGTTTTAACTTTAGACTGATATATATATAATAAGCAATTACTAAAAATTATATATTCGGATATGTTATTATTTTTTAATAAAGTTTCAAAATTTTAGACTACCATTAAGAATCAATTTGATGCCTTTGAAAGCTAAGAAAAATGCATTTGTTGCATAATATGAAACAAGTGACAAATCCTGAATGACGCTAAATTAAAGAGACTATTATACTTCAAAGTGCATTTTTAAAGATTTCTTTACTCCAATATAATAGTCAAGTATACATAGTCATGAACATATTTCCGCGGCGGCAATTCAGGAAACGCTGTCAGCATTTCAGGCAAACTCTTTCGGGTCGATGTCAGTCCAGAATGAATAAGCTATTCGCGTATAATCTGCAAAGATGGGTCGCAGAGGAAGGACGTGTGGTATGTGCATAACCCCGTTTCTGTGAGTAATACGTGCATTATGATAGCATCGTCATCGACATAATAAACAAGTAACATTAACGCAGCAAGTAACATTAACAGTCCGTGGCCTGCTTACCATTTATTCCTACTTGTAGCATGAAACATAGAAAGATAATATGTAGATACGTCTGTGGCAATAAATGGATCATACACGCGAGTTTAAAGACAATGGACCGATATCGTTTCAATGACGAGAGGTTCAGTAGATGAAGTAAGCATGAAAATAGCCACGCGCACGATAACGATAATGGCGCGTTTTACTCGTTTTCATCTACCTTGCACTAGTGATTACAATGAAAGCTCTTTGTGCCGACTTGCTTTGTCAGTCATACTCGCGACAGCGAGTATGTAGTTACAAAATGGAGAATTGAAGTTATACTTGGCACGATTCGGAAATCTACTCTTCGTGAACGATTTGCCCATTGTCATCTATGTGTATGTGAATGAAGTACTATTAATTATAGTTTAGACGCTTTGTACATCAGTGTGTTCACTTTGCGACAAGTTAAATCGATATAATCATTATTAAATAAGAACGAATCGATATTTCGTATTTATACATATTTTTAAAGGGAAAATTTTTGCGTGAAATAAGCTTTTCGTATTATAAATAAACTCTATTATTAAAGATTACATATTAATATTGTGTAAAAAAGCGCTTAGGAAAAAAAATGTCATTGCTTGATTTTTTCAGGTCAGCAGTCTCTTTTAGAATCAATCGCATTGATGTACACAAAATGCAAGAGGGCAGGATCGATAATACCACGAGCAACTGCAACAACAGCACCAGCATAGGCAACAGTTGTCCTTCTTCGATCGGCCCATGAATCCGACTGCCTGGCGTTGTTGTTGCGACTGTTGTTGTGACGCAGGCGCCTGCTGCTGTTGTTGCTGTTGCGACTGCTGCTGCTGTTGAGACGACTGTTGCGGATTACTATGCTGCATCGTGGATCCCGAGGCTTGGCCTTGGTTCTGTGCACGGAGGCGACAACCACCAGCTACACCCTCGCCGCCTGTCCCGTGACTAACGCCGATTCCCATTGCAGTTGCACCGAGTCCACTCGACATCTGCAATCGACATTCGCCCTCTGAATCGACGTACCACGTGCGAACGAGCTTATTCCGATACTAAGAATAGGTGTACTAAATCAGCGGCTTCCGGAACACAATGGACTACTTGTCGGCTTCGTGATTTGATTTATTTATGTAAAGTGGTTGACATTATAAGTTTTTATAAAAATATACTTGGAATATAAATATTAATAATATGCAATTGTTCTTTAATAAAGAGGTAAAACTGATATTGCGTCCAATTGATGCGTATAAGCCAAATTAAATAATCCTTTATATATACAGTTATAATAGAATCATTAACCGATATTAATAGTCAGATATTTTATTCTTTTTATATCTTTACTTTTTATATCTTACGTATATCTTACGTTTTATATCTTACGTTGATGTAATTAAATTAATATAAAAATATGCACAAGTGCCATTTTAACTGTAAGTCGAAAATGACTACGAAAATCACGTAAGAAAGCGACGTGGAAGAATTTCGGAAAGAGAATGGATTTATTGGATTCATCGAAATATGAAGTTATATTCAACGTGAGAATCGTAATTATTAAATTCCGATTGAAGTAATCTATATAAATTTCATGAAAAACATGATCAATCGATTTATCTATGGCAACACGATAAAATCGTTTTAATCGAAATAAGCTGACTGTACGATAATTGACACATAAGCCTTCAAAAAGCAGCCAATTAGTTGGGATACGATTGTCGTACGCTCAGCTGCACGTATCGATTGGCTCGTATTTTCAGCGCGGCCCGGCGATATCGAAATGAGAGATGTAGCCAGAGATTTATTATTCTTTCGTCGTTCCGTTCGAGGTCTCCGATATTTAAAATTCATGATCGCCAGACGGCTGAGCTGATCGATATTGGATTCTCAGAGAAAGTTTAAGGAGATGAATTAATTCCTTAATGCCATTTTTAAGAACGGTCTCAATTTGAAATCAGTACACTCTCAATCCTTTCTCAAATAAATTTTGATATTTTAATCGCGCGAGTTCTAACTTCTGTTCTAATTTCCAACGCGAATCGATAATCTGTTTTCGTATTGACTTCCTCATTTTTTAATTTATACAATATTATAGCGATAATCAACAAGAAAATATTTATCTTAACCAGAATAAAATCAGAATATGAAGTATCCTAGAATCGAGCATAATTGAGAATTTATTTTTCATACTTGAAACACGAGATACTTCGCAAATAACGCGAAACTCGCGCATAATTTCATTTCAGCATAGAGATTTTATTTCAGCGAAGAGAAAACCTTGAAGAAATATTCAGTACAGCCTGTCCATTTCTCCCTGTAAACAAAAAAAAATTCGCGGAATAAACTTTGAATATGTTGTCTGTATGATGCATGTAACTACATGCGGCCCTTTATTTTTATGCCACGTTATATATTGATGACTCGTTCTCCATGCGACCTCACGCGATAACGACGTCGTACAGTCGCTTATATGGCATGTGGGCAGAGGTTGATAAACAGCGGGCAACGACGTAAAGTGTACACGTGTAGCCGCGAGTAAACGTGACGAAGCGTACGAATGAGCTGCGTAAGGACGAGAGAGAAATAGATGGAGGAGGAGGGAAAAGGTAGATATGTGGAGCAATCAGGATCATTGAGATTAAACAGAGAACCGTTCAATTGCTTATAACACTGTATAAATCGGCGCGGTGATTTGGGATGATCGGGAAATAGAGGCCAGAAATTGCGCGTAGAGACTATGTGTAAAAACCGTATTTAGAGAACCACGGCTCTCCCATAAAAATACGCGCTCGTTTATATACACGGAGCAAATTTCAGTTCGTATCTCCGAAAACGTGACTCCAGTTACGATAGCGTAACGATATAAATTTCAATAATCTCCGAGTGTGATTTATTTTGGCAGACGTCGTGGAAACAAACCGTTGCTTACACTACAGAACACCACGAAATTTAGGAAACACTTAGAGTTGAGCGATTGATGCGAACGATGAATTTACATAAGTTTTGAACATACATAACTTTTAATAGCGCGCGTATAATGCTTAGATATAATAATAATTTGCATTTGAGTTGCACGCGAATTTCTATATCTAGAAGTTAAACAAAACTAAAATATATAAAGTGAAATATATAAAAATATTAAAAAATAAAAATTAATTTTCTTAATCAAAATTCATATTTGTTCACTAAAGATTAATTTTGATAATTAAGTAGTTAAAATAATAAGCGCAAATATTATTACTGATTTACTTTGTTTTGAATCATTAATAAACAAGATGACTCTCGTACAGACTAATACATTTTGACACGGGGGATGATTGACATTTTCGGATAAAATTTTGGACATTAATTTCGCGATCGCAGCTCCAATTGCAAACGCTGCCAATGCATTTAAAGTGATTCTGAAACGACGATAGTGTTTACGCATAGCTGCGTGTCAACATGTCAATGGCCCAATGGCGTGTTGCCTTCGTGCAGCACGCAATCGCGGAGCACGTGCAACTACAACCCTCGCTTCCCTCTCCTACAACCGCTTCGTCCGATAATCTTGTAAATTTACTTCGATCGGGGAAAGTGTACGTGCGCACATCTATATAAATTTGTTATGCTCTGCATGAGCAGTAAGCTGCAAACGTTTCGATCAAGATTTTAATAAGTGATAATAAAGCTATTACGCGTTCTCGCCTTTTCCATGCGTGTTATTATTTCAAGATTTCAGAATGCGGACAAACGTCCATAAACCTGTTGTCCAAAATTTTCCTAACTCGGATTTTTTTTTGGCTTCAAATAATATTTATATAGATTATGCATACGATAAGAGTACAAATTTCCGAATTGCTGTTTAATTTTTATCCTTATAAAAAATACTTATTGTCGGCCATTTTCTCTGGGAAAACTCGGCCCATCTGAAAACTTATTCGTAATCTACATGTTATAAATTTTATTTTAAATGAAAAATAAAGTCCAATCTGGAGTTGGGAAAATTTTGAGCAACAGCTCTGTTCGCACTTTTTACAAATTCAATTTTATGATTGTGTAAGATAATTTAAATACGATTGAATGCAATTTTGATTTTCAATATTTGATTCAATTTTGTTGTTTATATGCATATTCCTAAATTAGAAAATTATTTGTAAATTTAATTTATTATTATTATATAATACATCTTTTTAATTGGAATTTTTTTTATTAAAACAATATATTTAAAAAATTAATAATGTTCGCATGCACATCTATACGAAGAATACTATAGCGTTCCAGTTCGCTCTATTATAAAGTGAATAAGACTGCAATTAAAAAGCAAAGTGAAGGCTCAGATATAAACAATATAAGTGGAAAACGAACAGGTCGTTATGAGGCAAGCACAGTAAACAGTGCACGCAAATGTTTAAAATATTTAAATTATTTAATGAACGTTTCGGTCCTAATTTGGACCATCTTCAGCATCTATTAACAAAAATTAATTGGAAAGAAAATATATTTAAAAAATTGCATAACATTACAATGCGAAAAATTAATAAAACGATGGTAAACTTCCCTTCGGTTCTAACCGTAAAGGATTATCTCAGATGTTATGAGATAATCCATTCTTTACGATTGGAACCGGAGAGAAGTTTACCATCGTTTTATTAATTTTTCGCATCGTAATGTTATTCAATTTTTTAAATATATTTTCATTCCAATTAATTAATTTTAAATTAATTTTTATTAATAGATGCTGAAGATGGTCCAAATTAGGACCGAAGCATTCATTAAATAATTTAAATATTTTAAACATTTGCGTGCACTGTTTACTGCGCTTGGTTCATAACGGTCTATTCCTCTTCCACTTAGACTGCAATTAAATCCTTTACGGATCAACGCGATTACATGGTTCCGTACCGATCTTCAACATCCTTTCTGCGGCAAAATAACAAAATGATAATACAAGTATACAATAATTCCTCCTCACCTCTATCATGTTCCATGCGTCTGAAAGCGAGTCCAGCTCGCTTCCCGCGTCCTTAGGATCAGCCTGATCGGCGCGTGGCCGGCGCGGCGCCGAGATAGGGGGGTGCGGGTGCGGGCACGGCCGCGGCACCCCGTGCCCGCGTTCGCGAGTGTCCCTCCCGATATGCGATCGTTCCTTTAGCCCGGTCCACCCGCGGGGCCGCCTCGCCGGGCCTCGCCCGAAGCCCGCATGCTCCCAGCGCGCACCTCAGCCGAATAGCGTAACAGCCCTGGATCACGTCGTCACGAAGTCTTCACGGACTCGCGGACGGACACATAGGTACGTGCACCACGAGCCGATCGGTCGCCGAACGGATTCCTCGCCTCGGGCGAGGCGCTACTACGCCGACGATGATGGCGACGTCGCACGACGACACTCAACTGCGACGGACTCCGACGTGCGGAGGGTTACGTTGTCGATGTTGCGCATGATACCTTGCCCATTTCCCGCCTTCTTCCGCTTCTTGATGCTGCCGATCGTTCCCTCGTCGATCCGTTTCGTCGATACCACCCGTGTTACGATATCACTTTACCGTCGTCACCCTCTCTCGCGGCGCCCTCCACCCTCCTCTCTCGACGGGGTAGCCGCGCGCGCGGATCGACTGGTCGGTGTCGCGATAGGAGAGAAAGGGAGAGAAAAAGAGAGAGGCGAGAGTGCGTCGATACGAGATTCGTCACGGAGAGAAATAGGAAGCGGAGAATCCTTCTCGCTGTCGATGGCACCTGCTCTCAAGGATGAGCGAATGCGAGAAAATTCGTCGCACTCTCTGGAGATTCGCAAGTCCCGCGGTGGGATTCGGGAAATTCGTCAGTTCGGTCAACAAACTACGACCGAATCCTTGAACTTTAGGACGACGAGAATGTCGCACGCGATCGACCTATTACGTCTTTCGGCTATGCGATTTAAAGGCGCGGTCGCGCCGCGCCGCGTCACGCTCGCGGTCTTCGATCAACGCCGATCTCACACTCGGCGCTCGTTTTCCTCGCAGCTGGCGTAGGTGGTCGTACGCGGTATGACGTTCGATTTCGTCCTCCGTTACGTTTGACGAAATTATAAATAGATACTCGCGCGCCTGTTGGTACGCGAGGCGCTGGCGTGACTAGCTTGAGTGCCGCTGCTACTGCTGCTGCTGCTGCTGCCGTTGGCTTAGACCGCTGATGATGCTGTCGTTACGTCTACTTCTATTGCTGATGTTGCTGATTGCGTTGACAGACGCTCGCGGAATTCAGTTGTGCGTATTTCGCAAGCACGGAAGAAGATGAGAGAAAAGAATAAAAAAATACAAAGAAGAAGACAGGAAAAGGAAGAAAGATGATGAAAATGTTAAAGTGTTTATAATTTGACAAGAAAAGAGGAAACAGGAGAGAGTAGAAAATGAGAGAAAGGGAGGAAAGAGAGATGAAAGAGAGGAAGCAAGAGAGAGAGAGAGAGAGAGAGAGAGAGAGAGAGAGAGAGAGAGAGAGAGAGAGAGAGAGAGAGAGAGAGAAGGAAGGAGAGCGGAGCGTAAGCGAGTCGATGCGCTGGTTATTGATTGGCACAAGTCGAGAGGGAGAGACGAACTCGCGGCGCTGTCACACCGGCTAGGCAGACTGTCAAAGACTATCTTTGTGTTAACTTCCCGTCGATTGATCGCTTGATATCCTCTCGGAAGACTTTTGGACCGAGCGTCGATCTTATCTCCGCGAGATTGTTTAGGATTGGAAAAGAGATTTTTAGGAAGATCTGCTTCAGGAAGATTTAGATTAGCGATGATAATTACAGAAATATCGGCTGATTCTCTCTTACAAATATTGAAATGACGAGAGGTAGCTCTGTCATTTCGGAGTATGGACGATGTTTCTTTCTAGATCTTCGTCGAGAGGAACGTAGTACGACGGAAGCGATGCAAAATCTGACGCAAGTGTTTGTTCTGACGAAAAAAAAATATGCAGAGAACACAACCCGACAGAGAGTATCTAATCTCCAGAGTAAGAAGATCGATATATTGGTATTCGTCGCGATTGATCGCTGCGATTGTGTCTCACGATTTTATCGCACGGTTGTATTGCTGGAACACGTATCACACTGTTACATGTACGCGTGTTATATCTTATCCTTATTTTTCTCCCTCTTTCTTCCTCTAACTCTCTCTTTCTCTATTTCTCTCTCCCTCCCTCCTTATCCCACTATCCGATGCGGCGTCCAAAGGCGTATCTGGAATTATCGCGTGTCCTCTCCTAGCCACCCTTTCTCCTGCGCGGCAACCGCTCGCCCTTGCTCCACTTTACGCGTGTCCCTCGTTATCACGGCCGGACCGACCCGGACGACGATCGGGAAAGCTTCGAAAGCTCGAAAGCTCCGCGACCCGCGATGATCTGTCGTCGGCCTCTCGTCCAGAGTTGGGCCAATATGGCGGTTACACGCGCTTACACGATGCCTTGGCCACCACTGCTTGCCCGTCTCGCGGACGATTCCAGCGACGCCGACGCGAGACGCCGCGATGCGAAGCTATCCGACGCGGATGCGTCTCCGCAGATCGCCAACGCCGCCGACGCCGACGCCGACGCCGCCACCGTCGTAGAACGCCGACGCCGACGCCGACGCCGACGCCGACGCCGACGCCGACGCCGACGTTGACGCCGACGCGGTGGTCGAGCCATCGTATGAGCGTCGCGACGGCGGAGCTCGTGTTCATGATCCTGCGTGCGAATGACCCGCCAATGTTGTCGCGATCCTTTGCTATAATCACAGCGGCGTCATTATGACGCGTTATGGTCGAACAGTTGTATGAATGATTACGATGATAGAAACTCGCAACCGCGTCATTCCACTATTAGCTCCACTGAGGAAACATTATAAAAATACTATGATTTTATGACGCAATGATTTCTTAATGACAATTCCAATAGTTATAATGGAATCATTTAAAATTAAAGATAAAATGTTAATTGATTACGCTATGATTGAGGTAGACTTTCCCAAGCGCAGACAAATAAAATCATAATGAAATTTAAAAAAATATGAAGGTATCATTCAAAGAAACTGAGCAAATTTATCTGTAGTAATTATTATTTATCTATAGTAATAGTAGACAAGAATGGAGAGATGGATAAATTTGTTTTAAAATATCAAGAAGAATAATTTTAAAAAATATCAAGAAGACTTATATTAACGATCAATTAAACTATTTTTGAAATAAAATTGTGATCGAATTCTGAAAGAACATTGAATATTTCGATACGATATAGAATAATAAGCAAATCAGCTTTTAAATTATAGCGTTATTATAAATCTCAGAAAGGATTATATTATTTAATCTTTTTAAAAATGCTTAATATATTTAACTCAATTTTGTACTGAAAAGAATTTATCTCAAATTTTTTTATTTAACATTTTTATTTAAAAAGAAAAGAGGATAACGATCCATGAAATAACAATCAGAATTTTTATTTAATATTTTTCAAGCTTAATACATCAAGTCTCAATGTTCTTACTTACGTAAGAATTCTTGAATTTACAATATATTAATATGATTGTGAAACGTGTAATTGTTAAATATTGTATTTACGCGCAATTTTTAATTTTGTTTTATACATGTGTAAGTTAAGATTGGTATTAAATAAAATTTTGTTTTGTGTCTTTATTTAAGATCATATCAAGTACTTAGACTTGAAGTTATTAATATATTTTCTCGATAAACTTTGAATATTATATATGGCGCGGCTAATAATAGATTAATAAACAAAGCTAATAATAAAAGTGATATAAACACTAGAAGAAAGCGAAAGTAACACGCATTCGTAACAATAATGATGCGAGGATTTTCGCAAAATATGAATAATAAGATTTTTTCATAATTATAAAAATCGTTACATTTTCTAAAGAGGGGCAAGCTTTATCATAAAATTGTGCTTAACATTTTTATGGAAATCTCGTCTCGTATTTTAGGAATATTATGTTTTCTCGTAGCAAATTTCATTTTTCCTCTTCTCTTTTTCCTTCTCCCTCCTCCTGCTCCTACCCTTGTTACATCGTCGTTTTAGCGGCTTTTAAGTTAAGTAGTCCCGCATTCGTGGTGCGAGAGCGGAAATTTTTCCCGCGCGAAAGAGGACGTACCATCTCCTTCTTCCGGCGTTCGATCGATCATGCGACTGCGGCCAATACTAGATACCATCATCCATCCCTCCGTCAGTTTTTTCCACCTCGCGTTTACGTAAGGAAGAGATGCGGACGCGCGCCAGCGTAAGGGAATGTCTGAACGAGGCGGGGATCAATACGTCGCCGCCGGCAGCGATCAGATGCATTCCTAAATTGTGATTCGAAGACGCGGCGGAGATGCAGGTGCCGCGTCTTTCGCCCTCTTTGAATGACTTTTGCGCTCACGCGCGCAGGGCGGCCTCCGGTTCGACGATAACGAAGCAACGGGACGAAACGCTGAAAATTAATTTCAGACCCGTGTCACGGAACGTTACACATGGTAACACCGGGTGGAATGTAAATGAAGGTTTGCCGGTTACAATACCTCGGGCTCAGTAGGGAACCAACCAAGAATGCCGACCAAGATACAGCCTGGTTCTCTGGAAACGGTCGGTTTGGTCGATTGCTTGCTTATCGGTCGTAGTATGCTTCTGATAGCAGTGCTCTTGCCTTGGATAGACTGATTCTGCGTCTATGTACATTAGTAGCGCCTTCCAAAATCGTAAAATTATATGCTACATCAGAGATGTAGACGTGTCGTTTTCGCTTGACATGTTAGTTCTAATCTGTATATGAGAATACGAGGTAAAACATCGAAGCGATTCACTCTTATTTATATTCGCTATGCCAAAATGATGACAGAATCGATCAGCAATGTAGTCTATAAGTTCAGGCCTAACGATCGATTTGTTAATGTCTGTATTAAAAACAAGCATTTCTTCTAACAATAAACTGATTTCGGAGAAAATTTATGAGATAAATATAAAAGAAGAAAGCATGGAAAATAAATCTGAATTATCCACTGTTTTCTTGTTTCCTATTTTATCTCTTTAAAGATTTTTTGCTAACTATTTCTTAGTATGTGCGCTCGCATTCTCTTTTTAAAACGTTGTACAGTTTGAGAAATAAAAGAAGAACGAGAAAAAACGTTACAGCAATATTTTCTAAGACTTATAGCAGGCTAAAATTTCTAAACCTTTCTAAAGGTTCCCCGAAAAGGGATCTGGAAGGTCTTCCCGGATCTCCCACCGTCTCTTTCAACTCTCTCTCTCTCTCTCTTACTGCCTAATTCGCCCCTGGAGTGCTCGACTGCGTAGTGAACACGTGTAGAGAGATAGACGTGCAGGGAGGCTCGACAGGGAATACGTGTGTGCGTGTGGTGGGTGTATACGTGCGAGACAGAGTCTATACGCACACGTCTATACATATGGGTCTATCGTCGCCAGCTGTTAGTGTGTAGTGAGCTGTTGGATGTATAGTGGGAGGGAAGGCAGTTGGGAACAGGCTCGACTGCTCCCCCTAATACCAGAGGATTGAATGGGCGAGGAGGGTGGTATTGGGTTCCCTCACCCCACTCCCACCACCCACACGCCGCTGCTCCCAACCCGCTCAAGCCACCCACTTCTATCCGCCTGCCACCCCGCCTGCCCACCCACTCGCCACCCGACTGCCGTCGAGGAAACAACCTGCAACCGAACCAGCATAACGTTTTCTCGAACAACGATTTCCATCCATTTCGTCTTCACCACCGGAAAGAGAACGTAAGTAAATCATAAGATCCACCAATTTCCTGTGCTCAAGACGTATATCCGTGAATCTCCGAGTGTTTCGTGTGCCCCTGTGTCGGTCGCCGTTCGTCGTGTATTCGGGTGTTCATCATCAGTATCAGTGCAGCATCAGCCACAGCACGGTGTCTTCTCTTCGCCGAGGATACGTTCCTCTCGAGATGCGTGTTGCTCCACTTCTTCCACTGTGTTGCGCGTCGAGAACGAACGATCGGGAGAAAGTGTAAAGTAGGACGGTGAGAAGGGATATGGAGAAGTAGAGCGAGCGGATAGAGCGAGGAACCGAATGCGAGAGAACGATTCTGAATGATGCCGGGCCGCTCGCAAACGAGAGCGAGAGGAGAGGCCGCCGCGGCCGCCGTATTGTGTGTATCGCGAATAGGCCGCACGCGAATACCTATCGAGAAGTGCGCGCGGCGCGGCTGTATCTGCGACGTCCGTGTGTTCGTCGCTGTTCGACGCGCACCCGTGCGACGGATAGAAAGAAAAAGAGAGAGAGAGAGAGAGAAAGAGAGAGGAGACGGCGTGTATTCCGCACTGGGAGAACATCTCTCAGCGCGGGGAACGCGCGTGTGCGCGAGGACGGCCTGTGTTCGCGCGCTTCTCCGCAATATCGTATGCGCGAATGATTATGATGCGAGTGGCTGATGGCTTTTTTTTTCACCATGTGCGTGCGCGCATACACGACAACGACGGGACCAAGACGGCTGTTGCGATGATGGCTGGCGACGACGGTTTAGCCGCGCGCCGCTTCCGTAGAAGCGGAGAGGAGAGAACGAAGCGGAAAGGAAGGGATCTTTCTCGGCCGGATGGATGGCCATGTGCGCGCGCGTGTGCGATCGCGCATGTATTTATGCGAGTACACACGCGCGAGCGCGGAGAAGATCTGCCTGGCGTCCTTGGTTAGCCGGCAATAATTTCCGGATGAATTTGAATGGCGGATTGCACGCGTGTCTTCTCTCTCTTTTTCTCCTTCGCTTCCCGATCATTCTCATTCGCCCGCTCTCTTTTTCTTTCTCCGTCCATCTACTCATCCATCTGTCTCGTACTCTCTCTCTCTCTCTCTCTCTCTCTCTCTCTCTCTCTCTCTCTCTCTCTCTCTCTCTCTCTCTCTCTCTCTCTCTCTCTCTTTCTCATCAGGACTGCGTCTCTGCCTTTATGCCGAACGATCGTGTTCTCGCCGTCGTGTCATCTCTCCCTCTCCTCCTTCTCCTTCTCTTCTCCTCACCGAACTTTCCTACTCTTTTCCTCTATACTATGACGCAGGGGTTCTCAACCGGCGCAGAAACATAAAGTTCCATCGGTATGGTTTAGGTACCCTCTACGCGCCACCATCTGTCGTTTCTAGGGGACGTGCTCTCGACCGACGGTAGAGGGGAATATTGATTTATTCTTTACAGTAACCCCTTCCATGCATTCAACCTTCTTGCTTTCCCCTCCATATCTATGTACACCGACTTGGTTTATGTGCACGCACACATGTTGCGGGGTTGCCAGTAGAGGGTTGTTCGTTTCCCCTCCCAGCTACTCGAGCGGCAATCGTGACGATCAATACATGCTCGTTCCTTCCTCATTCCGGATGCTGTCACCACCCCTGCAGAACGCGGTGCCAAATTCTTGTGCATGCATCATTCGATCGAAATCAATCGGAATTCAAAAGCAAGGCAGACGATATATAGAATAGGTAAAAATCAATAGACAGATGTTTATAATAAATCTAAAAGAAAACACATGAGAAAACAAAACTCTCTGCAGAAGGCAGTTTTCAAGAATAAAACTTGGAACACAAAGAATATGCATTGAAGAATTTCCTTTTAACAATTCTTTTGTATGGAAAAATTTCTTTTTAAACAATTCTTATTGTGATTAAATTAAATTTTAACAAAATAACAAGAATAATGTTAAAAATAAAAGGAAAAGTAAAAACATAATTTCCGAGGGATAATCATATAATGAGAAATTATTTTCAAAATTTAAAAAACTTAATAATTTAATTAAAAATCCATTTTCACTATCTCCGTGAAAAGTTACAAATTAATTTTGCTTGTATATTTATATATAGCTTAAATGTGTCGCATGACTTTAAATAAGTAGAAAAATATAGCACAGGAGAAGAGAAAGTCCTTTAAACAAAATATCTTTTACTCTGAAAAAATTATATATATAATGTTTGAAGTAAGCCTTCACCCGGGAAAAAAATGTTCCCATAACACCTCGATAATAAATGATATTTTACTTCAAACATTTTTTCTTACAGAGTAAGTCACTTAAAATCGCCGAATAACTCCTACAATTTTAATGATAAGAAAAAATGTTTGAAGTAAAAGTTATTTGTTATCGAGGGGGACGTCATGTTATCGGAAACATTTTTTCCCGAGTGAAGGCTTACTTTAAACATTTTTTCCTATCATTAAAATTGTAGGAGTTATTCGGGTGGCTGGTCTTAAGTGACTTACCTGTATATATATTATTTCCACAATATGAAATTGATTAAGATATAAAGACATATGAAAATACATAAATTAAAGATATTTAAAATATGCAATTGCACATTTTAAAAGTGTATTATTGTGCATATAGGAAAATAATAATTTGCGCGCGTGACAGGAAATTAGAAATCATTCAACTTACAATATTTTTCTTTTTTTCGTTGGAGAGAGACTGTCCATTTAGATAACATGACTCACCCTCACATTGTCTAAATCTCCCTCCATTCCTCCCTCCTTTTCTTTGTCTCTGTCTCTGTCTGTCTGTTTGTCTCTCTCTCTCTCTCTCTCTCTCTCTCTCCCTCTCTCTCTCTCTTTCTCTCTCTCTCTCTCGCTCTATTTCAAATCTAATCTCATAGTGTCCCAGAAAAGTCGTTAGCGTGTCTGTTATGAACTTTTGCACACTATTCTCATTCTCCGCTATGTTTATCCCATACGTTTACATTTTACGAAATACACCTCTGAGAATTTGAACGCATTTATTCTCTATTTGTTGTGGTATAAGCACGCACAAGGGAATACACTCACACAGTTATATCGTCGATAGAGCAAAACTTTTACATTATCGTATTTTCATTTAGTCGATTGATTAAACGCGTATAACGCTGATCGTAAATAAGAATAAAAAAATAATTATAAATATAAAATTATAATATATTTTATTGACGATTGCATTTATTAATTAGTAAGATCTGTTAACTCTGTAATCTTAAAATTTCATAATACTATGTATATGATATAATACATGGTATTAATATTATTAATAATTTTTGTTGCTTTTATTTTGAAATAAGCATTCATGCAAATACATGATGTTTCTGGGATCACAAACTTATAAGGAACTTTTAACATATATAAACTCTTAACTCAATATATATATAACTATGTCGAAAATAGAACAGAAAACTTTTCTTTCAAGTTTAGGTCTTAGACGGCTCAACACGCAGGTAGACGAATTGCTTGGGGACACAACATAAAAGGAAAAGATTTATTATTTCTGTGTAAGTGACCATTAAGGGCCTGCAAAATGGAGGGGAGTGGCACCGGAATTGGCAGGCTTGATTCTTATGAAGATATGTTTAAGGAAATCACTAGGAAACTTTACGGGGAAGATCCTGATCATAGAAGTAAGTTAAAGTTTCTTAAAAAATTTAAGAATAAATTAAAGATAAAAATTATTGCGTTTTACATTACGCTGGATATTTATTTCAAAATTATCAATTGCTAATTATATTTATTAATAAAATTATCTCAATAATATTATAATTTATAATAGCAATTATATTATATTATTATTATGTAATTATAAATTATTACAACAAATATCTTTTCCTACGTGACACACATACATCATTGGAATGCAGTTACAATTATACGCGTGTAAAATCTCAATGCAATTTATCGTTTAAAACTATCATTTAAAATTAAATTTTGATATTATTATTTGATTGATTGTTCAACATTAATTATATGAATCACAGGCAATCAAGATAATTTCATTTATATAACAATTTGTTTAAATGTTTAAAATTGCATTCACATTCTCAATGTTGAAAATTAAATTAATATCTCGATCGATATTATATAATATAACAGTTTAACGAGCGCTTTGTTGTATAAAAGAGTGATGTACTTTTATATTTTTTACCTTTTTTGAATGCAAAGAGCTCAATGCTATTTATCACAATTTCGTTTATATAGCTTCGAGCGTGCAAAACGAATTCGAAGCGTCAGTTTCATACAAAAACGATGAAGATACGGGAAATGGTACAGACGGTAGTGACGATGGAAACTGGACGTACGACGAGGAACCTCTAAAAGGCACTGATGGTAGTCGAATCGCTGCTTATCATGCTGGAAAAGTTATATGGCGATGTGACGAATGCGGTAAATATCATAGATGTATAATATATAGACCGCGCTTTCCTACTCTTTGTTTCAGCAACATGAAATTTTAGAGAGAACTTTTTTTTATGGTAATTTCTTCTTTGCCTAACGACGCGTGGTGGGGGAAAGAAATCGATCAAGACATATGTCAAATGCAATGGCCATATTAAATTTTTGCCCCACTCTTGTTATTGATAGACAGAGAAACTAACACCATAAACGCATGTTGTTTCTTTCTAAAATTTGTTTAACTTTCTAGCCAAACGTGAAGTCTATGTATTATACGTCTATGGCAAATATACATGATATGCACCATAAAGTAAGAGTCTTACTTTATGATATGCACTTAATGTGTACTTTTGCAACAATATTCAGCGAATGCATCTGAATATATTGTTATGTCTAAAATAACGTTCTATAAACCTTTCTAAAAAATTTTTTTTTGCAAAGCTAACTTGTTTACAATCTCCATAAGCTTAAAGGTCTTGATCGATGGGGCACTCAGAGTACAGTCGAGTAATTTTCTATCCAACGATGTAAAAAGTTTAACTGATACAAGATAAAAATAAGTTGATTAGTAAGGGTAGATAGCGAGAAAAATCCCCTTGCTAATTACCGATCGTAGCGTTTTGAACAATGATGTTATACGGCTATATATCATAGTTCTCGTATTTTTCCAGGAAACCATTTGTAATTGTCCATATTATTAAGCAATATGAATACATATTTTAATTAGAAATTTTTATAATATTCCGAATCCAACAACTACAATCTCTTTGTTACGATTGTATAACAAGGCTCAGTTCATTACGCACGCGGAAAAATATAAAATAAAATGCTTATACACAATGTTTCAGAAATCGCGTCAGTGATTCGCACTATAAATCTTGAAAATTTTTAAGTCAATTTAAATACAAAATTATATATTTTGTCACATGCTACGTAATCGATTAATATATTCTTTAAAATTTATACGGGATAAATATTTAAAGTATATAATCATCTTTTCCTTTATAACTTTATTATGTCAAATATTCCAATAATTTGTACATCAGCAATTTGATATATAATCTGGAATGACCTATATATGAGTCACGATATTTCACACTTCGGAATAAGCACAGACATATAAATAGACGCGCGCATATTTTTTCGATTTTTCAGGTAGATAGATTAGATATAATTTCTGGTAGATAGATTAGATATAATTAGATATAATTTCTTATTTTTCTCTTTTCTATGTTATTTTTTAAAATTTTAGTATTCTTCTTCTTTTTTACCATTTTTTCCTCTTTTTTTCACTTAATGCTTTACAAAAAACGATTTTTGGCGTGACTGAAATATCAATCAAAGTATATCAAATCCTATCAGAACACTTTCGCGCGTTTGGTAGTTTATGGTAGAGGCTAACTGTTTTGCTATCCAGTTAGTTGATACTATGCTATACCAAGTAATGAAGCAGGATACATGTTATATACCAGAATAAGTTCCGCCTCTACCAATAACAATCCTTTGGTACATGTATCAAACTACCGCCTAAAAATGAAGTTATTTTAATATTTTTCGAGAATGGTAATATTGTTCTTTTTTTTACTTAAATAGATGCCTTTCTCTTTTTTCTCCTCACAATACTTTCTCTTTGAATAGATCCCATTCTTCGTCTTTGTAAAGTGTTATTTATTACGCTTTGCTTTGTTTTTGTTCGGATATAAGATTCTTTACTGAATAATTGTTAGAATTTTACAACTTTGCCAGGTAGTTTGTCACAAAGATACATTTCGGAATTTAACGTTATTGATTTATTTATATTCATAGGCGATGTTATGGGAGGTAGTCCGCGTGAGCTTGCTGAACATTTTATGGAACTTCATTCTTCAAGAATCCTACCTGATAACAGTAGAAACAGGCACCATTCGCCACGCAAGGATTATCTGCAAACAGAGCTTAAAATCGAAGACGTGGTTATGTATTTAGAGAGACTCCGTGAACGCGCCGAACGGGCAGCACCTCCCTCTAGAAGGACCCAAGAAACACAAACCGTACCTGCGGCTTTACTGCCAGTTACTTCGAGCTTTCTCCTGCAAGAACTGCCATCCGTTCCCGCGCCGCAGCATCTGCAACAGGTACTCGAAATAAATATATTTCAAACTCTCTCTCTCTCTCTCTCTCTCTCTCTCTCTCTCTCTCTCTCTCTCTCTCTCTTTTATAGATATATAAAATTAAATTTATTTTTGAGAATTAAAACGTTTACAATAGTTTTATTTAAACTTATAATAATTGTTTGATATAATTTAAAAAATAATGCCATTGATTTGATATATACAATAATAATAGAATAAAAATTATATTACGAATTTATATAAATATTTAAAAAAATTGAAGAGACGATAATGATTGTTCACACGTAGATATGTGTTTTTAATTTATTATTTTTAATTTACGTTCATTGTTAAGTTTAAAATAAAACAGCGTATATTATCATCACAGAATACAGCTACGATGACTACTTCGGCCGCAGCCTCCGTGAGTGGTAAACGATATACCTGTCCATACTGTCCTTACGGCACTGACAGACGCGATCTCTACACGCGACACGAGAACATCCATCGCGAGGAGAAGCCGTTTCACTGCTACATGTGCTTCAAGCCCTTCAATCGCGCCGACCATGTAAAGAAGCATTTCATGAGAATGCATCGCGATCAAACCTACGACGTCTCGAAAATACGAAGACCGGTGGGAACAAGCGCATCGAAGCCGTTGCAACAGGACACAGCGACAACGCCAACGGCGGCCAATGCGAGCACCCAACCGCAACCGCAGCAGCAACACATGAACTGCCAAGCTACTTTCGCTAGCAACAAGGGTTATCAGTTACAGCCGAATGTTGCTACATCGGGCACTGGCACTATTGGTATTTATCAAACAACGACCATGCCCGCCCCGGGAGGAATCATGCAACCCGACGTGAATAATTGCAATACAGGCAGACGCGTACAAAATGGTGGATGCAATAGCAAAAGTCACCTTAAAGGTGGTTCCAAAAGCGCGCAGGAACGAAGGTGCTCTTCTCAATTTGTTTTTGTCACATCTTGATTGTGACTTTCCATATATATATTTCTTCTTTTGATTAAAATCAAATTTTCCTCTAGTGTATAAAGCCAATTTCTGTGATAATTTCTGTTAGCTATTATCAAGTTATTAGTTATCAAGTTAATTAATAATATGCTATGATTAATATATTAGTACGCGTTGTTATGACACTTTTATAAATCGTAATTCGTAATTTTTAAGGTACTCCTGCTTGTACTGTCCATGGAGCGGTGTTGATAATTGGTGTTTGAAACGACATTTGAACACCCACACGAAGCCCTTTGCATGTAGTTTGTGTGAGTACAAAGCAGCACGCGCCGAACGGCTTTCGACGCACGTGCTCAAGGTACATAATAGGAGGCAATGCTCGAGATGCTCGTTTCTTGGCGAAGACGCGGCGCAATTGCAGATACATCAGCTGCATGTTCATCGCGTTAGCAGTGCGAGTGCACCGTCGACATCGACGGCTCAAACAGCACCGCCGCCGAGCAATCGTCATCCGCAACCTCTACAGTAAGATTACAGTAACGTTATCTAGTAAAGTCTGATAAATCCCGCCGCAATTTTAATCGAAAAAATAAATATTAATCTTATTAATTTTAATATGGGATTTTATCATACATTCTAGAAATTATACATTCTAAATTAAAATAGAAAAAAATAAAAGTCTTGAAATAATTTTTAGCTAGAAAATATATTAGTTATTGAAATCGATAAAACTATAGATATATTAGATTGGGAGAATTTTACGATGACAAAGACTAATGCGGGTTTAAGAGCATATTAGTTTCAAACTAATTTTAAATTATTGATAATAGATAACATTCATAATATTCGATCTACATGCATTGTTATTAAAAAAAATAATATTGCGTGCAAAAATGAAATGTTTGATTGTTACTGACTAATTTAACAACATATAATTACATATTTTACAAAAAGCATTGTATAATTAGTAAAACCTAGTTTTTTTCATTCAGTTAAAGTTTAAAAGCATCATTAACAAGTTTAATCAGTGCTAAATAATGGCTATTCACGTTATATGATAAATTCAAGGTATCAAAATATTGATTCAGATCGTGGTTAATTATTTACGTCTAAAGAGCGAATTTTAATTAAAATCGTAAAATATAAAACTGTCGATAAAACTCACCAGTTTGAATTTAAGATGTAATTAACTAACATAATATATGTAAAGTAAAATGTTATGCCTTAAATCGTATCGCTTTATGTCTTTGCTTTATTATATTCTAAAACAAATTCATAGAGTAAAATAAAAAAAAATTAGATTTAAATATCTAGATATTTTAATTTTAAAGAGATTTAAATATATAGATATTTTTCTTTTTCCGTTTTATCCCTATAAAACAGGAAATATTAAATCTTTTGAATACGAATAAACACATTTCATATAACTTTGTGCGATAAAACTGTTCACGAACTTCTAAACTCAATCTTTTCGCAGAAGTTCGGAGGATCTTCGTTCTCTCGCTCTCGCTGACAAATAATTTACGCGATCATTTATTGCTCATTATTGAATTTATAGTCCCGTGGGAGGAGGACGACCACCACCTGGGCCACCAGTTTTTCCAGCACCAGCTCCAGCAATCGCACCTGCTACCACTGTAATACCACCGAGCACCATACTCGGGTAAGCTTCATGACATTTACCACTGTTGCACGTGATACTCGGCTTACGTTTGTTTATTCAATTAATTGCCGCATTCTGTTGCGTTTCTCCTTTCTTTGGTTACCATTAATTGTACAATGAATGCCGTATGACGTTAAGCGGCAAACTGTTTTGTATTTTATGTTCGTTCATCCGGCTAATGTTGGCGCGCTCGACGACGGGTTACAGATCTGTTATTAACTTTTCGCATCCGATCGTTGGCTTCGATCATCAATTCGCTATTATACGGACGATTCATGAAGAGTTTGATGATAATCTTTTTTCGTCGCGAAATCAACATATCGATCGTAATCCGTCGATGCATCTGACGATTCGTCATCTCGCCTGTCACTACCCACTCCTCCTCCTGTTTTATGTTACGTTCTCGCGTCATTTTTTGAATTATTTTTTGTTGAAAACGAGACCTCTCGACTTCTGTCACCATATATGCACGCTTCGTTTGCTTTCGGTGTCGTAGGCTGCGCGGACGACGTTTACCCCGTCGTTGTTACTAGATGTGTATCTTTGTCTGGTTACACAATTTTATTTCTCTTACGTCGTGCTACGACAAACGCTCGTACGTTGGTAGAAAAAATGACGCGAACGTAACTTATGGAACAGTGCCGCGGTGGTTGCAGCCACGAGATGGTAAAGTCCCCTGCAACCGCAGCAACCATGGCATATCCCACGGAGGAGGAGAACCGGTCGCACCGTCGCATAGCCGGCATCAATGGCGACGACGACGACGGCAACAACGATGACGACGACGATGACGACGTCGTCCGAGGCAACGGTAACCGTGAGGCACGCAATCGTGACCTCGACGCGCGTCGCGTCTGCGGTTTCAAGAATGATAAGAACGATTTTGTATCGTGTCTGAGCGATCAAAGTAACGGGAGTAGTAAATATGATATTATCGACACGTCTAACAGTGATTTTATATATAGTTACCAGATAATGGCGAGCGCAAATCAGTTACCAGATAGTGCCGAGGTCCGACTTTCGGAACCGTGCCATTCACGAGATCCCGTGTGTAGACAGGACGAGAAGGAAAATCAGCAAAGGCCGAGCGAGAGGCGATCTAGGAAGCAGAGTCAACCGAGACAGGTAAAATGGCATTGGGATTCTCGGTGCAATCTAATACCTGCGTTAGGTTTACAAGATCTGACAAACGTCGAGCCGAACAAGAGACAAGATATTAATGGTAAGATTCAAATGATCTCTAGATCTCGTCAACAAAAATCAATAAGACAAAGAATGTTCAAGTGTCATTTATGCCGAAAATATGCGCCGACCCAAGGAATGAGTCGCCGCTCGTATCACAACAAAGCTTCGTTAATACTTCACATGTTATGGCGACATAAACGACGATCTTGCTATGACAAGAATCGCACATCAACAATCAATTTATCATCGACTGTCTCCTCGATCACACTCAAGGCCACGTTTTTCACCAACCCGAATTATAGATATCATAGATAACAGCAATGGAGGCTGGGAGTGGCTAAGAACGTAAATTGTTATTATTAGAATCAAATTTTTCGAAGGAATTGTAATCTTTTTTAAAGAAACTCTAGTCGAGGAACTTTTAATATATGTACAATTTGAGTTTTGATATATCTCTGTTGTACTTTTGTACTTTACTGATTCTTTCCTCGTTGAATTTCATGATTAAATTAGCTTCTTTTTCGTTGTAAAAAGTACCTTGATTTATTGCGAAAATAAACTTCGTACTCACACAAGATATCTATGTCAGTAATATAATATGTTTGTATGTTTGTAAAAGAGAAAATTATAAGATATATTTGATCTCTCGATTTTCTCATAGCACATTATGCCGGAAATAAGCGCCCGTTCGAGGAGTGAACTTCGCATCAACGATTAGTTTGTCATCGACCACACTTGAGGCTATGTTTTTCCTCAAACTGAATTACAGAGTAGGTAACAGCAAAGAAGTCTGGGTGAGCTAAGTATGTAAATTGTTATTATTATAGAGTCAAATTTTTTTAATTGTTCTTTTTCAAAGAACTCTAGTCTAGATGAGCTGTTAATTTTGATATAGCTTTTCTAAACTATTTATAAGTATTTTATTTTCTTAATATAATAATGTTTTATTTTCTTCTCGTTGATTTCATCATTAAATCAACGTTTTCCTCATTACAAAAATATCTTAATTTATCACAGAAATAAACTTCGCATACTCACACAAGCTATCTATGTAACGTAATAGTTGTGTGTGTCTATAAAAGAAAAAATTATAAATATGTATAGTATTTTCGTTTTAGTATTTCTGTAAGAAAAATTCTTTTCTATTATAAATTTTTTAAAATATTTGAATATTTTATTAGTTATCTTCTTTCATTGAACGATCAGAATATAATTTTCTGAAATATGTAAATTTTATACGTTATTGTCGGGGATGTTTCCCGAAATATGAAGTGATTGCTCTACAAAGAAATTGTTTGCTATATTCTAGAAGCGCGAAAGAGAGCGAAAAAGGGACGTGATATAAATAAAATTAATGTGATTCGAATCTGTATAATTGAAAGTATTTTAACGTAACATATGTAAGAGATATGTAAATACATTTTTCGCCATGATAATCTCGATCGCTTTATGTAAGATATTCGAATTGAATGTGGATGTTATATAAATGACATGTCTTTGTCATACGAGAGCCCGATCACTCAAACGAGAGATGATTTTTAGATAACATTAAATAAATAATATAAAATGTAGGTTTTGAGATGATTGATTTGATAATCGATGTTCTATAAATTTATCTTTGACTATCTGTACTATGCGTACACTTTTTTCTGTCTTAGACTAATGATGAAGCATCATCATTTGAAATGCAATTCTGTATTACGATTAAGCAACATACTACTTCCGTATTTGGCTACATAGCCATAATTTTTATAAAATTACAATTTAATATAAAGCGTTTATATACAAAAGCATTATCTTGTTTACGTTATTACAATGAAATATGTCTATTATATATGAAGTGAATAAAGAAAAAAATTTGCTGAGATGGAATTCATGAATCTTTTAATTTCTTGTTTCCATATCTTTCTCCGCAATATAACCAATTTTTTAACTATTTCTCGTATATACATTACATTTCTTTTCTTGATTTATGAAATGAACTAAACTAATTGTATATTTTTATTCTTAATTAGTACAATAAAGATGCGGTAAAATAATAACATGGAAAACAATTTTTATTTCTTATGAAATTTCTATGAAAAATAATTTTATAAAAGAGAATTTAAATTATTAGTTGTAGGTATTGAAAAAATATTCTTTCATCGAGGGAAATTATATATCGAATGTCGGTACTCTCTAGTACGCATATGTGAACACGTAATTTAAGATGGAACCAGTGGTTGTCGCCACAGTTTCTAATCGATTGTTGCTATTGATACGATATATAATAGCTTATAATTGGATATCTGCTTATATAATTTAATTATATGTTAATTGATATATGTTTAAATATATATATATTTAATGTATGTAATAATATTTTACCATAATGAACAAATAAAAATGTTCATAAAACACAATATATAAAACACAAATTTTTCATATTAAACATCTCATGTGAAATAAATTTATAATTTTTATCATGTAAAATATTTATTATCTAAATTATTTAATTTAAATGTTTATAAGCCATTTTTTCATTTTAATATATATATATATATATATATATATATATATATATAATATATGTGTATATATATGTATGATATTATTTATCGTTCTCATTTTATTGTAATTTTCACCGTACTAACCAACGTAAAAACAATGCAACAAGAGCTGCAAAGCAAACATTGCAGAATTATTGCAATGAAATATGATATTAATGAATATTGTAATAACTTCAATAATAAAGACATAGAATATTATTTAATGAATAGTAAATTTTGAAAAAATATATTATATCAAGCGTTTTATGCATGAGAACATTATTATATGGAAACTAGGCTATTTTTTATTTTGTTTGTTTATATCATTATCTATTGGGAAATTTATTTAATCCCTTTTTACATCACATAATAAGCAATTATTTTTTATAACAAAAATTTTGCTGATTGAATATTTCTTCGTTATTCAATAACGTAAATCTTTGAGGACAGTCTGATGTCAATAATCAATATTTGAAATCTAAGATCGTTCGATGTAGTATATTCCTTGTTCTTCGCTACGAGAAATATTACTCTGAAATTATCAACAAACTTTGACAAACCAATTTCAATTCATCAGTCAACATAGTACAACAACTATGATGCGCTGTGCATACATGACAACTTGCATTGCGAATAAACTGTGAGAGGTCTTGGAAATATAACCATCAATTATCTGGAAATATAACCATCATAGATTTAGTTATTGATAAAAATTATTAGCCTGCGACAAATGCGATTAATGACATATGGAATCTGATTTTTTGAGATTTTTTAAAGATTTCTAAAAATTTTTCAACTATGTATTTTAGAAATGTATGTATTTTTAAAGCTTGCATTTTGATGAGTTATATATGATTAAAAATAATTGTATATTTTACACATTCTCTATACTGTTTACTTCTATTTTTTATTTTGCTCTTGCATTTTAAATTCTTTTGAAATTTTATATATAATAAAGAAGTTTTAATTATAAAATATATACGTATGTTTTCAAACTTTACGTATTAATGATGTTGCATTGTTACATTCTCAAAATTTTATATATATATATATATATATATATATATATATATATATATATATAAAATGAAGTTTGTGTCAATCTGTGACGTTAATTAGTAATGAAAGCAACCAAAAGCAACTGATCAACTTTCATCCTCAAGATGCATTCGGTATCTGAAGACTCAATAAAGATCGATAACCAAGATGAAGTTATGACGAAGGATCAACCGCGGGACGAGAAAAAACCAGCTTTGACGAGCAAAACTTCATGTCGACATGGTGGAAATCGTGTTCTGCCAACCTGGGCACGAAGCGAGTTAATCGCTACAGAAAATCAGGTTAGAAAAGTCACGTAAGCTCCCGTTTTGCTTCGGATAACACACACAAATATTCATAATCATTCGTTTTACATGAGAGCTTTGAACGATTCGCGAAAATACACGATCGATAGATGTGTTATTTAGTAACTTTACTTTCGCACGAGTTTTGGTGTATATATTAATTAACTCTTGTAAACTTAAAAGGATAATCACACAAATATATTTACATATTCGTAATTTTTCAGACATATATTCCATAAGAAAATACAGTTTTATCATATAACTAATCATGCTGGTGAATCATTTATATTGATTATTTATATTGATGCTGGTGAATCATTTATATTGATTATTTATATTGATTAAATTATATTTTTAAGAAGTACATATTTATAATTTATACCTATGATAATTATTATCTCGAATATATTTTTATAAACTCTGATTTATATTTATACTTATAATTCGTTATAATTTCCATATTCAAGTTATATGATTAGTTTATTTATTTAATGTTAGGTTATCAATATATATAATATCACATAGATCGGTGGATATTATATAATGACAATATGATTAATTGTTTTGTTACTGGATCGACTCATTTGATAAAACCTGAGTGCAATAATACATTAAATTTTACTACGCATTTATATATCACGACTTAGATAGCTATATACTTTAAAGCGTATACATCTATGTGCTTTATAGTACTCATTCAATTGGATTACAAGGCGGATAGATACGGCGTTAAGATACTGCTTTGTTTTATCGCACGACACTAGACGTAGAATAAAATAAACAAATAAATAAGCGTTTTATCATTCGCGGGAAAAGATTGTAGCATACATGTGTGCTTGCGAGAAAAGCGAGACATTTATGTATGATGTGCTACAACGTGGAAAATAAAAAAATGCGTATGCGTAAGTTAAATGTCACAATTTATGTCACGTTCCGCTGTACATGTCGATAAGCGAACATTCATCCATTCAACAAAAACAACAATAAAATAAAATATTTGTACATTCATAATCTACTATCTAATATGGGTCATTGCACATTATTTTCCCGGTTAACTTTTATCAATATTTACAATTAGAATTTGCAACTGTAAGCGCATTATTCAATTCGTTAAATCACAATTTACCAGTTCTTTACAAATGACCGAAGCATGAACATGAAATAGAAAATTAATTAAATTATTATATTTTAGTGATTAGAGAGGAGGAGGGGAAGCGAGGGGAAGAGCATGTTATTTAATAATAACAAATAATTATTAAACTGTAATATTACTGTGTTTCTCTTTATGTATATTGTCTGAGGGAATATTATTTCAATTGTATATTGCATTTAATTTGTAAAATTTAGTTTTATGAGAAAATGCATATAATAAAACTATTATATTTCCTCTCAATACTTTTTTTCTCAATAATTACATTTTTTTAATAATTCATCATCGATTCATCATAACACTTCATTATTTCTGCTTTGCAGGCATACCAGTATTTCATTTTTTCAATATTATATTTGTATAATTATTGGTAAATGTATATAATATATATATATATATATATATATATATATACATATATATATATATATATATATATATATAATATATTATTTCGATACTATAACGAGTCAAAATGTTCAAACGATAAAATGTTGGCAATTTACATCATTTTGATTCTTATTTGCTCGCAATATGCATTTGTGCATAACGAATAACGCATTGGCAAATCTTTCCACGTCTCTCCAATTGTATATACAGAGATAAAAAATAACGCCCTTCAAATCGTGCAGTGTAATGCACTTTAATAGCGCGCGTTTAACCGATCGTTAAAACTTACGTCCTCGAACTTACCGTCTCACACTTACGGTCGTTGTTCAGCGTTTTCAACGTCGTGTTCAACATCGCTAAAACTGACCCGCTTCAACTTTAAAGCGGACTTGGGTCACCAAGTACAACGGAGTCG